CCCCCCCCTTCCTTTTTTTTTTTTTTGGGTCCGGACAACGGTCCGGACTGTCCGGCTCCGGTGGTGTCCGGACATTTCGTACCTCACGGAACCAGTCCGGACACTCGTCCAGAGTACAGTCCGGAAGTGTCCGGTGTCCGGGTCTGTGGTTACCACGTTTTTTTTCCTTCAACAAAAACAGGTCCTTATGGCCCTGGCTCCATATCCATTCTGGGGAGCATCAGTCTGGTTCCTATTCCCCCAGCAAGTCATCAAAATAGTAAAAATTTGTGTAAAATACATCATTTACACGCTCACGCTTCCTTCAATTCGGCTGAAGGATCCCTGACCAGCATTGATTGCTCCACGTTGGATTGACTGTCAGCTTGCCCTTCTCATGTATTCCATTCAGGTTCTGTCTGTGAACCTGTCAGCTATGTCTATTCTCATTAAGAATCACAAGAAGGCATCATTTCTTCCCCTCCTATTTCTTGTAGGAAATACTTAATTTCAGTTAATCCTTGCTCTGACCTGTCTGTGATCTGCCTGTGTTATCATCCAATGTGCTGGTGTGGCCGTCTTTTGTGCAGCCGAAGCGAGTTTGTCAGGTGCATAGTGCTTGCTGGAGATGCACGTTTATATGTGGCAACAAACAAAGGATATCTTCATGCTGTTGATCCCCCGGATTGCACTCTATCGAAGGCCAGGATGCACATCTTAAATCATCAGCTGGCTGATGATTCTGGATCCTGTGTACTGCACCACCCATTAGTATGCCTGACTGTACTGACGCTCAGAACCAAGCAGCCGAAGAACAACTGGGGCTGGGATGGTTGTCAAAGAAAGCCACCATCAGAAGAATCTGCCTGCTGTGCAAAGCTTGCAGCACATGACGTGGTGCTTTCTGGAGATGTAAATGGGATGGCATGCTGGCTGCTTCTACGACGATCACATCCGTGTGATGCAAGGCAGAGTCACAATAGGAAGGCTTCAGGAGAGTGGAAGAGCAGAGCTGCTGGGTATTCTGGAGATCTTTGTGGAAAAGAAGATCTGACTGCAGTGCATGAAGACAGACTGTTAGGATGGTGCCGGTGGCAAGCTAGTGGCATGCAGCGACTTCTCGGAGTCTTTTTATGCGAGTCGTTAGGAGAAAGGTAAGAAGAAAATCAGTAAGGAATTCAAAATGGTTTATGTTCTATTCAGTTTAATATCTGATGTTGCCTCTGTGTTGCACTGCTGCAGAGCATGCCCCAACCCTCTGAAAAAAGAAAAGAAAATGAAAAGAAAAGCTCTGAATGATGGGTCGTTGGTGTAGGAAGGCTCTTGGGGAAAATGCTAATGGATATAGCTTGCCGCGGCCTCATCTGAAGAGTTGTTACGGAGTTAGGAATAGAATTGTATGTAGATGAGTGTAAATAGAGAGATGGGAGTGCGCCATTGTCTCACATTTCCATGGGACGATAATTGTTTGAAAAGATGCAGCTCCAAGTTTTCTGAGCGGAAAGGAATAATGTACAGTCCTTGGTAAGCGTTGATACTTTGCCATTTGTCAAGGCTTTTGACTCTGTTCTCCTTCCCCAGCAAAGTGATTTGTGAACTTCGTCGTGATGACCATGGTCTTGCCAAGTATTCGTTGTTGGCATGAGGCAAAACATTCGAAAAATGCATTTCGCCTTCTCTTCTTTTTTTGCTCTTTGTTATGAACTGGGTTGTCTGACGATTTTGTCGCCACTCACACACAGAGAATCTCACACACGCCCATACACGTACAAGACACGGGGGAGAGGAGACAGAGTCCAAACTGCACACAAATAAAAGTAAGCAGCGGAATTCGCAGATGCACAGATGGAGAGAAGACACACAGTGTTTCTCACTCTCTGACAAACTCCCAACAACCAATCACGAGAAGACACCTGCGAGGATCACAATAGGATTCACACTGATGATAAGCCAACTCAAACCCATTGTTCCAATTATCGCTACAAAGTTTATCTCAGTATCTCGCCACTCTCAGAACTCCACACACCACTCTCTATCCTGCACCCAGTTACTAGCGCAACACTGAAACTGCCTCCCAGAGGCCAGCGCCGACCATCCAGATGAAGAACACAAATCGCGATGAAGTCTTCAGTGCCGATAACTCTGACGAAGAAGATGGCAGCTATGGATGCCACACCACTGACAAGCTCTGACAGTCTCTGAGGAGCGAAGGGCGACAGTGGTCCACCCACATACGCTCAGTGAAGAGCCTCTGCACAGCCCAGCCAATCGCAGATACCCTCAGGGGTAGATGCGCAGAGGGTGCCCCAGCTATGGCAAACCCCAGTAGGCTGGCTATGGCTGCCGTCCACGATGAAGGTCTTGGGATGCCGCCCCAGACAGTCGTCACCACCAAACTCGCTTGGCACCGAACGTTGTGTCGACAAGAATGAAAAAAACAAAAGTCTCTAAACTACAGGCCCAGTCCAATTAATAGACTACCCTACTCTAAACCTAGACCTCCTGGACCGGTACCGCATCAGTTCGGCCTGTTCGGCCTGGGCCCTACTCGGCTATACGGCGTCTAGACCGTCTCTACAGCCCAAGGCCCAGATGGGCCTGCTGTTCTAGTGATAGTCTGGGCCTGCTAAAGGCAGTAACGGATAAGGGGGAAGTCGGGCCTGCAATCTTCCTGGAAATTGCAGATATGTCCCTCACGAATCCCTCTCCGGACTGAATTGGCGGTTTGTCCCTGACACAAACAAAGTTATGAATCTAACCTACCGCTGTACTATACAGCCTCGCAGTCAATCTCGGCAGTCAAACAGCAAGTCATTGCAGGCTTACCCCCCCCGGGGGAGCGAGGACCTCCGAGCTAAGGGTGTAGATGAGCAGATCGTCGAGGGAGTAACCCCTTTTGAGCGGCTTCGTATCGCAATACTACAGACTTTGCCGTCTTGAGAAGTTATTTCCTGGTGAACCACTGGTCCTCAGTATGAGGCTGGAAACATAACTTCACAAGATACTGTCGGTCGGGGCCAGTGCGCCACTCATCCTCAATGGACTCCACGTCATATCCCTTACCAGGGATTGGTGGACCAAACTGAGGGGGCCGGTCTGGAAATGCATCAGCTGAAATGAAGGGAAGAAGCTTAGATGCATGGAAGACCGGATAGGTCTGTAGATGCAGTGGGACGTCGATAACGTACGACAGGCCAAAAGGATCGGAGCCCACTGTATCTAACACCTGCCACGGACCCAAGTATCGTGGCGACAGCTTGGGAGAGATATCCTCTTCCCTCGACAATTCTGAACTGGCCACCCAGACATAATCGCCAGTACGAATGAGGGAAGCGCGATTAGCTTGTTCAATCATGGCCTTTTAAGCCTTGAACAAGTTCGCCCATGCCCTTTCCACATCAACTCTGTAGCGTCTGGTGAACTCTGCAGTGCCAGGAGTCAGATCAGACTTAGCCTTATTGATGATATCATCAAGAGGCTGCCGCCGTTCACATCCCCAATGTAAGCGGTATGGACTGAACCCAGTCAAGGAATGGATAGAGGTGTTGTACACCAGTTGTGCACGAGCCAGGTGGAGATCCCAGTCCTGTTGATCTGGAGAGATAAAAGGACGCAGCAGCTGGAACAAGACTTGGTTCATCACTTCAGCCTGACCATTGGCTTCAGGATGACGACCAGAAGCCATGTCTAATCGTGAGTGCAAGTAGTCCTTGCAGTAGGACTGCCACTCATTGCTGCAGAATCGTGGATCCCTATCACGGACTATAGAAGTGGGCGGTCCATGGTGAGTGACCCACCTCTCTGAAAATGTTGCTCTCACAGCGGGGACCCTAGCTACTTCTGGCAAGGGGATGAACTTTGCGTACTTAGAAAACTTGTCCACGCAGACCATTACCTGACGCATGCCACAAGGGGTGGTCTTGCCTAGATGTGTAAAGTCTATAGACACAGATTCAGCAGGACCATCAGGTATGGGTAAGGGTTTGAGCAGTCCCAGAGGAGGTCTACGCTGGACCTTATTTCTCTGGCAGAGCTCGCAAGTTTCAACATAGCGTAGCAGATCACTCCGCATCTCCTTCCAGAAGAAGCGTTATGACAGGGCTGCATATGACTTTAAGAACCCAAAATGTCCACGTGCATCATGACACTCTGACATCAGCAGTGTCCCGAGTCGCTGGTCTTGGGGAATGCACAAGCGTTCCTCACCTCTGCTGTAAGTGTACAGCAAGTCTGAACTCAGGGCATAGCCGGGTTCAGAATTGGGATCCGCTTGCAGATTCCTAACTATGGGTCCATAAGTCGGGTCCTGGGGCAGTAGACGAGCAATGGTCTAGCGGGTCTCCTCTCAAAAGGAGTGAGTGGAGGAGATCAGCACAAAAGAGTCAGGCCTAGGAGAAAGGGCATCCGCTACTTTATTGTAGCAGCCCTTCTTATGTTTCAGTTCAAAGTCAAACATGTCAATGAACTGAATGTAACGTGCCAATTTGTCATTTAACTCTCCCTGGGACTTCATCCACTGTAAGGTGGAATAATCAGAGAAGATCTTGAAGTGCCTGCCCAGGAGAAAGTGCTTCCAATGCTTATAGCTCTTGAAGGCACAGACAAGAGCGTATAGCTCTTTCTCGTAGGTAGAGTCCTGAAACTTCTAAGTCTTGATCTTTTTACTCATGAACTCTACGGGCCGTAGACCATTCCCATCATCCTGCCGAAGAACCGCCCCAATGCCATACTGACTGGCGTCAGTAGTCAGGATAAATGGCAAAGTGGGGTCAGGCAACTTCAGCACTGGTGCACAAGTCAAGGCCTTCTTGAGTCGTGTGAAGGCCAACTAACAAGGAAGGGACCAAAGGAAAGGAGTGTCTTTCTTTGTTAGGTTAGTCAGGGGTGCAGCCACTGCAGAAAAGTTCCTGACAAACTTTTTGTAGTACGAGGCCAAACCGATGAAGGACCTGACATCCCTCACTGTCTGTGGTTGTGGCCACTCCTGAACAACAACTATCTTGGCTGCTTCAGGAGCCAGACCATCTTCAAAGATTATATGACTCAGGTAGATAACAAAGGGAACTCCAAAAGAGGATTTCTCTCTATTAATCTTGTACTGGTTGTCACGTAACGACTGAAGAACTCGAGCCAACTGCTCCGCATGTTCCCTGGTAGTTCGGCTGAATATCGGAATGTCATCTAGATAGACAACCATGAACTTGTCCAGGTAAGGCCTGAAAATGCGGTGCATCTCAGTCTGGAAGGTACCTGGGGCATTGCAAAGTCCAAATGGCATAACCAGAAACTCGTAGGTACCGTATCTGGTTTTGAAGGCTGTCTTATAGACATCCTCCTCTGCCATCTCAATCTGGTGATAACCAGATTTGAGCTCCACTTTGTTGAACACTGTGCAACCCTGCACCATATCCAGAAGGTCGTCGATCCTAGGAATAGGCTCTGTACTCTTCCTAGTGATCTTATTGAGACCCCTATAGTTGATGCACATTCTGAATTTTCCATTCCCTTTCGGGACGAAGAGCACTGGTGTGCCAAACTTAGATGTGCTCGGCCGTATCTAGCCTTTGCTGGTCAGGGTCTCTAACTGCTTTCTGAGCTCCTCAAGGCTCAAACTCAGCAGGGGACATCCTGTAGATGCGGCCCTTAGGAGGGACCGCTCCAGGTAGCATCTCAATGTGATGCTTGGTTGGCCGGTTGGATAGTCCAAAGGGCTCCTGCATCAGATCAGCATACCGATCCACAACCTGCTGTATCTCAGGAGGACAGGAAACAGGTGGAGCGTCTGTTTGCTTGACCAGAGCTAAAAACAGACGCTCATGGTCGTACTGGCGCGAGAGAGAATAAAACTCCCTCGCTCTCAAACAGTAGCAGCTAGTCTTAGGGTGGTGTTCAGCAGCAATCCTGCAAGTCTGATACACCCCCTGTCCATTGGGGAGCTCAACCTTAGGAATCTATCAGTCGATCCTAGGGTTGGTTGCCTTCAGGTACTGCATCGAGAACACCAGATCAAAGTGTAGATCAGGGAATATGTAGAAGTTCAAACGATGTCTGACTTCCCCAGCACTGTCGAAGGTAACAGGGATACCCCTGACCTTCTCCCTGATGGTGATAGTAGCAGAGTCACCTATCCTAACCTGCAGCGGTTGCTGCAGCT